AGTAGTCCAAAATAGTAGTAGGTTATCCATAGGACTGGCAATGTCAGAAGTTATTGACTTGAGCCTTTCACAGCTCAGCATATTAATATGCCTTACCTTTTTTTTTTCTCTGAATGCCTTCAGGGCAGGTTTGGCTGGCTTGAGTTGTGGGGATTGAACCACAGCAACCTGAGCCTGACTGCTTTGTTGAAGAAGCCACTTAAAGAACTGAGCTAAGTGGCAGGCCCCCCAAGCTAAGGGGCAGGCCCCCAGCCTTACCTTTCATACCTTGTTTTTATACTTTTCTGCTGGATTGTTAAGACCAAGTTAAAGCAAGACCTATATAACAAGAAATGTAAATTTTGTATCTGACAAGGTCAGTCAAATCCACAAAGGATTTAGCCTGAAACCCTATACCAGTTTGTAGATCCTTTGTCAGTGTCAACCATGTGGATGAGTCAAGGCCATTGCTTGACCAATTTACTCTCTGTGGAAGCCTGATAGAATGTTTTCTCTCCATGTGAATCTCCTTAGGCACACTCTACATCATTGTTCACTTTCCTCTATGGCCCCATAATTTCCTTGATCAGAAAATTTGGGACACCAGTGAGTTACAGGTTGTTACAGTACAGGTTTTCTTATGTCCTGTGTCTTCACTGACTGAATGGCTAGGGCCAAAACGTTGGCTTTCCTTTCAACCCTTCTTTTTCCTAACTTTTGGTCTGCTCAGAATAATGTTAATAACATTTTTTTTAATAAAAGGATATTAAAAGCAGCATTTCAGGGACTGTTGAGATAGGTTGGCAGACTAAGTGCCTTTTCAGGTAAGCACAAGGACTGGGGTTCAATCCCTGGCACCACTTGCTGCACCAGCCACAACCCAGCCTCTGAGTCCAGGTGTGGTGGTTCATGCCTGTAATCTCAGTGCTGGGGAGGCTGAAAACAGGAGGATAATTGAGTGTGACCTGTGTCGTGAGACAGTGTGCCAAATGCATTTTTTTTAAAGCTTAAGGCCTTTGTCAGAGGGACAGTTGGTTATAATATTTCCCAGTTCATGTGTTTTCTTAGTTTGCTGGAGATTTCTTTTGAAGTTCAGAAACATTTTAAAATGATGAGATCTCAGTTGCTGTTCTTTGAAGTATTTCCCATGCAATTTGATTTCTCTTGGTCTCTATGTGTCCCCCTAAAGCCTTTCACACTTATGGGGTCTCTTCCAGAGTTTGTGGTTAATTCATGATCCAATGCTGTGTGTTATGTGTGTAAGTGCTATAGCCATCCCAGGCGGTGTAGCCTCAATATAATATAAGGAAATGGGAGAGGCTTGCTAGCTGGTGCAACTGCTTCTCTTTCCTTTGGTCTTTGCTCTTTTCCACTGCCATGAACTCCTGGCATTTATCATGTGCCTCTCTGCCTTGGATCCAGCTGAGTACAGACTGAAACCTCCAGTAATGGTGAGCTAAATAATCTTTTCCTTCTTTAATTTTGGGTGTCAAGTATTTTGCCCCAGCAATGACAGAAAAATAACCAGGATATCGTTCATTAACTCTTTACCTATTCCTATGTCTATAAGATTTCTACCTACACTTTCCTTGAAAATATTTAGTTTCTCTTTTATGATTAAATCTTTGATCTCTTTTGTGCATGGTGATGCACTGGTGTCTAATTGTAGTATTTCACATGTGGAAAACCATTTTTTTCCATCACCATTTATTAAACAATTTATCTTTATTCCAGGGAACATGTTATGAAATACTTCTTTTCAAATTAATTAATTTTTAAAAATGTATATGTTACAGAGTCTCACTATGCACTTGGATTCATAGTGAACCTTCTGTTTTCAGCCACTCCAGCCCTGGGATGACAAGCATGCACCACCACACCCTGTCATGGTGGTGGATTCAGCATGCCCTGGGGTGAGGTTAGGGCAGCATGTGAAATATTTCTTGATGAGAATTAGAAAAATGCTAAATGAGAGATAATTCCACTTATGTTTTCCATGGAATTTGCTTTATCTATATTATACAGTTATACATCTTTCATGAGGTAAGTTCAAATATCTGGTGCAGTCAACCTGCATTTCAAAGGTTTTCCTTGGCCTGTACTGGTTAAGAGAGATATTTATTTTGAAAATATGATCTTTCTTCTAAAGTTAGAAGAAAGAGGGCACATTTTTCCTGAGCAAAGAGGGCACATAGAAGATATTACATATTTCATATATCACAAATTAAGGAAAGCTTAAAATTACATTTAAACTACTTTGTCTCTGTAAATTGTTCTCAAGTCTAGTAAAAATAAGAAAGAAAAAAATACCTCAATTATAAAAAACGTAGGAGCAGCTTGACGCCATTTGCTGCTGCTGAGCGTAGGTGCAAGCAGATTGGGGAAGAACTTGATTGCTACTCTCTTGCGCACACAGCTCGGTATTCAGCTAGAGCTAGAGGTCCCACGGGGTCCTTGGCCACACCCGTCATGTCCCTTGGAGAAGTTGCTGGTGGCACAGCCCCCCAGAAAATCAGAGAAGCCAATTGATTGTCTGTACCACCATACCCAAGAATAAAGCCTAAGGAGGTAAAAGCAGACCCAGAGGTAAGAATGAGAATGAATCTGAAAAAAGAATTGAGGTTCAAAGAGAATGGGCAAGAATATGATCAGTAATCATTATGTTGGGAAATGGACAATTAGAAGTGATGTATTTTGATGGTGTGAAGAGGTTATATCACATTTGAGGGAAGTTGAGAAAAAAGATTTGGATAAAACCTTAGACATCATATTGGTTGGTCTCTGAGATTACCAGGGTAACAAAGCTGATGTGATTCTAAAATACTATGTGGATGAAGTGAGAAATCTAAAGCATATGGCATGCTAAGATCAATGAAACTGATACATTTGGTCCTGGAGGTGATGATGAATAAACCACTTGCCTTGTATTCATTATACATTATGATTAACCCCTAAATTTTGACTAGTCTATTGACTACACAGAATCTTTCTCTATATTCTCATTACCGAGATGTTCCTTCAAGATTTTGATACAATTTGCAGGAGGCCTATATCTGCATTTGAATTTTAAAGGATTCGTTTTCCATACTTAGCTGCATGGCTATTTTATGTCACTTTTGATATTATTACATTGTTCTCATGATTTTATTTTTCCATCATACACATAGGCTGGGGTAAGCATTTACCAAATGTTTTTAGAACCTGGGTTTTAATACCAGCTTTGAATTTGCAAGGTTAGTTACATAAATTAAACATTAGTTGGCACCCACTTAACAGTGGAAATACTGATGTGACTGTTGAAGTTTTTTTTAATTACTATGCATAAAAATTTCCCAAATAAGAAAAGATTTTTTTATCATATATGTAGGCTATTTTTACAGAACAAAAAGAGTTGTTTAAAAATGTTACTTTCAGAAGACATGCATGTACTGGTAATTGTGAATGCTTTATAAGCATTTAAGTACTGGGGTGTAGTTCAGTGAAAAGTCCCTAGGTTTGATCTTCAGTACAATACTGGATGAAAAAAAGTATCTTTAATTTCTGATGGAAGAGATAGCTACCATGAGAAATACAATAAAATATCTGTGCTGCAGAGTATATTAAATCCTCATTATATTTACTTTTACTTAATTTATCAGGTTTTCCAATAAAAGGAAGTTAGAGCTAGGCTAGTCAAACCTTACTAGCTACATCATCATCATGTCATCTTAAAGCAGATAAATCATTCATCCTGTAGCTTTGTGGAACTTTCACTATGTTGGTCTTCAGAGAACTTTTCAGTGACGAAAAGTAATACACACCGAATAAAGAAAATCATTTAAAATCCCACTTCAGCTAATTTTCCTTCCTAAGTATGCAAAATCTGAATTTAAAATATGAGGTACTATAAACATTATGACAGTGCATGTTTGTGATTCTTGTTTCTTATTCTATGGAATTTCTGTGCATTCACCTAGGTGGAATGCAGCTAAGACCAAGAGCTGGTTTTTAAGAACTCAGAAGAAACCATCCTTGAACAACTTGTCAATTGTCTTCCTCAGTAACCTAAACTTGGGCATTTATGCTTGTATACCTAAAAGTTTTTTTTCCTAATTTACAGTGTATATAGATACTTGCATGTGTTTTTACAAAGACTGTTTAAACTCTAAATATGCACTATAGTTTTGTTAGGGGATGATGCACCTCAAAAATAAGTTTTTCGGCTTATCTCTTCTAGCAAATATGGCTTAAGAGTTTTTAAAAAGTACTATGACCCCAATTCATGTACCTGGTGGTGATATATA